GGCTGCTTCTCTACCAGTTACAGCTCTCTCCTCTTTCCAGTTGGCTCTTCTTCTAGGTAAGATTTAAGGTCCCCAACCATAGAATCAGCTCTACTTCCTGATAGTGTCTAATCCAGATCAAAGTTTGCTTCCTTAAACCTTCCACCGATTGCCTAACATGAGCCCAAACGTTAGAGTGAGTCCTTTCTAGCGCCCTGTTACTGAGCCACCCCATGGTTCCCCTGATGCAAGGAGTGATAGACCCGGCTCGTTCACTCCCAGGTGGGTTTCTAACTGTCCTTGGCTGGAGGCACTGTCAGTCCCGACCTCGTTGGGGTGGTGTTGTGCCGCTCTTGGGGGGATACACTCCCGGGACTCTTGAGATATATTTGCCATGCTTACTATCACTCCCGTGTCACAAAGCGGACGCTGAGACCCTGTAGAGAGGGGCAGTAGTTTTGCCCAGGGCCACACAGCTGGCAGTGCAGAGTCAGGGTGGCAACTCGGGTCCCCTTCCAAAGTTGGTTTCCTAACCCCCTTGCTTTGGCCTTGATAGGGCAGAAACCAACATGATAAGGTTGGGCCAGCATCTGGGAGGAGAAGTGCAGAGGAGATTGGAGCTGAAAGAGAAGAGGAGCCCGGGGCCTCAGTGACCCGCTGTGCTTCCTCTCCCATGTGTGACTTCCCCGACTGGATCCTCCAAGGTATTTCTCTCCTGAGGCCGCCTGGCTGTTGAGTAAACATGGGCCTAGCTGAGGCCCGAGGGGGCGGGGTTGGGGGGAGACAGTGTCATCAGACTGGCCTGAGTCACTTCCTGACAATTGCTTAAGAGGCATCCAGAGCCACAGTCCGAGTGGCCAGCTCGCGCACTCGCAGGATTGTACCCACTTGGGCAGGAGCACTTCCCTGGTATTCCCCATCATTCTGGGCTCACCTCTGCCACACTCAGGTTATTGGGACATACAATAGAGAGGCAGAAGCTCTGTCCCTGCCCTGGGGAACGCCCCTGCCCTGGGGAACGCCATGCTCCAACCCAGAAGGAAACCCTAAGTCTCCTGGACAATTCTGTCTTGCCTGCACCCAGGCCTGAACTCTGGCCTCCAGGACCTCACCCCAGCTTCAGAATCAGAGTGCCATTCCCTGGCACCACCAACCCCAAAGGTCCCCAACTCCTGCAGCCCTCCTAGGCACTTAGCCCCTTCCTTTTTCCTCCCGCAGGGTCTCAGGGCCAGAGTCGGGGTTGGGGCAGGGAAGAGGATGGAGAATATGCCAGATACCCTCATGTAGGATGTGTGGAAGGAGACATGGTTTGATCAGTAGACATGTCCTCATGATGTGCGTGAGGGGACGATGTGAAATGCAGACCATTGCCTTTAAGGAGCAAGGCCTCTCAACCCAGAGACACTGCATAGACTTGGAGCCGAGAACATAGCCTCTAGAACCAGGCTGTGCTCACTTCTTCAACCCAGCTCTGCCCCTTGGCAGCTGTGCAACCTTCAGCAAGTTACTTAACCTCTCTGCACCTCAGCTTCCTCATCTCTAAAATGAGCAAGATAATAGTCCTGACTCACAGACCTCTCACCAGGACTGAGGGAGTTAGTCGTATGTGTAAAACTCGGAGTAATGACTGGCCCATAGCACGCACACGTGTTCAGGAAATATTTTTTCACTTCGAATGGGCTGATTCTTCCATTCATTCTCAATACAGTTTTTGATATCCTACTAGACTCTCTGGATGCCATGCCTGTTGGGCATTTCTGTGGGATCCCCATGTGGTCTTCCAGACTGTGTGGGAGGGACTGGGGTCCAGGGGTTGGGGCCTGCAGACTCCCTAGTGAGGACCCTCGGCTTGCTGTGGGCCACAGGCGAGTTCCTTTCCTCCTTCAAGACACCCTCTCTCCCTTTGACTAAGTGAGCAAGTGGTCCCCGCCCCTGCCACAACCCCTTCCCAGGCCAGTGAAGGGTCAGATAAGTCAGAGCAGCCATGTGGACCCCTTACGGCTATTCTCGGTCCCACCCCCCTTCCTGGGAGGCCTCCATGATTTAGTTAGAGCACAGACTCTTCTTCAGGCTGCCCCAGCCACCAGACACAGGGACAGAAGGCCCTGGCTTGTCACTGTCCTCACAGGGCCTTAGGAAGCCGGCAAAACCCCGTGCAAAATCGGAAATTTGAGCCTCGACTAGATAGCTGATGCTATAGAATCACGGTTGGTAATTTTAGATATAAAAATACTGTGGTTATGTTTTAAAAGGAGTCCCTAATCTTTTGGCGATATGAAAATATTATGGATGAAATTATCTGATGCCTGGTGTTGCTTCAAAATGAGGGAGACACAGTTGGTGAAGGGTTGATACAGTTACTGAAGCTGAGGGACTGCGGCCACGCGGATTCCCTAGAGCCTCACTATCAAAAGCGGCGTCCAGAGCCTGTTTGAAACGCAGCCTCTTCGCTCCGCCCCAAGCCAACTGCACCAGAATCTGTCTTTTAATCAGATCAAACGCCCAGGGGATCCAGGGCACATTCAGATGAGAAGCATCGGGCTCTTCTGTCTACTTTCGTATTTTTTTTTTTTTTTTAAGATTTTATTTATTTATTTGACACAGAGAGACATAGCGAGAGCAGGAACACAAGCAGGGGGAGTGGGAGAGGGAGAAGCAGGCCTCCGGCGGAGCAGGGAGCCCGATGTGGGACTCGATCCCAGGACCCCGGGACCACGACCCGAGTCGAAGGCAGACGCTTAACTGACTGAGCCACCCAGGCGCCCCTGGGATTAGGTTTTCTCATTTTTTTTTTTTAAAGATTTTATTTATTTATTTGACAGAGAGAGACACAGCGAGAGAGGGAACACAAGCAGGAGGAGTGGAGAGGGAGAAGCAGGCTTCCAGTCGAGCAGGGAGCCCGATGTGGGGCTCGATCCCAGGACCCTGGGATCATGACCTGAGCCGAAGGCAGACGCTCAACGACTGAGCCACCCAGGCGCCCTCATTGCTATTCTTATTTGTTGCTCAAATTGTCCCAAGTTTGGCCATTAGAAGGTTCTTTTCAACGTACCTCCTTTGGTTTTTAAGCACGTCCTTACCTTTTTTTTTTTTTTTTTTTAAGATTTTATTTCTTTATTTGAGACAGAGAGAATGAGAGGGAGGAGGGTCAGAGGGAGAAGCAGACTCCCTGCCGAGCAGGGAGCCCGATGCGGGGCTCGATCCCAGGACCCTGGGACCATGACCTGAGCCGAAGGCAGACGCTTAACGACTGAGCCACCCAGGCGCCCCTACTTTCGTACTTTTGAAACTTCTTCTGAAACTTCCCGTAATCAGAAAGTTGTGGGGTTTGGTTTGGTTTTTCCAAAATCGTCTCCAGTGGCCGCACCACGATGCCCACGCAGATCTTCCTACCGAGTCCGGGCCGGAAGGACCTGAGAGGCCCCGTCCCCGCCCCGCCCTACGCGCGAGCCCCTGAGCTCTAGCCAGCCGCGGGACCCCCGTCCTGCGGGCCAGCGCACCTGCCGCCGGGGCCGGGCCCACACTGCCGGGGCTGTCGGGGCAGGCCCGGGCGTGGCCGCAGCGGCGCACCTGGGCGAGCAGGCAGGTGGGACGCGCCGCGGGCCCGGGACCCGCCCTCGCGCGGGGGAGGAGCGGGCGGCGGGCCTGGTGCTGGGAGCCCGACGGGCCGCGGAGGCAGGCGCCGCGCTGGGGCCGCCGAGATCGGGTGCCCGGGATGAGCTTCCCCCGGAAAAGGGGCTTCTACAAGCAGGACGTCAACAAGACCGCCTGGGAGCTGCCCAAGACCTACGTGTCCCCGACGCACGTGGGCAGCGGGGCCTACGGCGCCGTGTGGTGAGACCCCCGGTGCCTGCGCGCCGCTGGGGGGCGCGGGGGGGGGCGCGCGCGGGGCGTCGGGCCGGCCGGACGGCGGGCGCGCAGGCACCGGGACGCAGGTGGAGCCTCCCGACCCGCCGGGCCGGCCAGTGCACCCCTGCCCGGAACCCACCCCGGGGGGTCCCCTCTCCTGCCGGGCCCTCGGGGCCGCGCGCCCACCACCTTGAGCCAGGACCCCAAGGCCCAGAGTCCCGCGGGCTCGGAAGACCCAGGCGGGGGCTTTTCCCGCACTAAGCGCTTGGAGCTGGGAGGAGGCGACGGGGCAGCGCAGCATGAGCCAGAAGCCTCAGGTTGTGGCGGAGGCTGGCCTGCGGCCACTACGGACGCCACCTCACTGTTCTCACCGGCTTTGTGGGGTCTCTGTGGGTTGAATTAGGACTGGGTCTGGTCCTCCAGGACTTGAACCTTACAAGGGACCCTAGAGTTCATCCAGGCAAGTCCCCGTTGTTACGAGTGGGTACACTGAGACTTGCCAAGGTGCAGAGTGAGCTTCCCTCCGGGCTCTGGATCCTGTTGGCACGACCTTGGGTCTGACCCGCTGCAGAACTGACCCCTCGCCGCCCAGCCCCCCACCCCCCCAGTCGCCCTCACTGCGCTTGAGGCTGCTCCCTCACCTCCCAGGTGGCCGGTTCCCTTCCTCCCAGCCCAGCCCGTTGGCCAGGAGGGATTTGGGTGAGGATGGCCTGGGCTCCCCAGAGTGGCGGGGGAGATAGCAGCCAGGGTGTGGCGTGGGGGCTGCTGGGGAGGAAAGAAAGCCGACCTGTGCGTGCCCCCCAGCTCTGCCATCGACAGCCGGTCAGGGGAGAAGGTGGCCATAAAGAAGCTGAGCCGGCCCTTCCAGTCCGAGATCTTTGCCAAGCGGGCCTACCGAGAGCTGCGGCTACTGAAGCACATGCAGCATGAGAACGTAGGCTGGGCCTGGGGGCTCTGGGGGCTGCTCTGGAGCAGGTGGGCAGGAGGCGGCGGAGAGGGGTTGTGGAGGGGGAGGGGGCCCCGGGAGGCTCCTGACCAGGTTCCGCGCCCCCATGTGTGGGGGAGATGGCCTGAGAGGGTACAGAAAGCCCAGGACAGGGCCAATCTCCTCCCTGCCCCTCCCGCCCTTATTCCTCCCCTCATTAAAATGAGGTGCCAGGACCTGCCCTACCTACTTCCCAGGAAGGGTGCAAAGGGTTTCTGGGCAGTGGAGCAAAATGAACTTTGTGAGGTGCAAACTTACTGTTTCCTCGGTGTTGCGAAGGAATGGGTGCGCAGAAACTTTGTAATTTGTTCTAGATCTCGGAGCTAGGGCGCCCCAGCATCCTGGTTAATGTGGCTTCCACACGTGGCTCTGATAACAATAACCATAGGTACTTGAGCACTTCCTGTGTGCCAAGTGCTATGTCAGAGCTTTGCATAAACTAACTTGTTAACCCTCACATCACAGGAGTTGAGTACTATTACTCCCACGTACAGAAGGGGAAACCAAGGCACAGGAAGACTAATAGGTTATACGGTTAGTCGGTGGCCCAGCTGGGATTTGAACCTATGCAGCCTGGCCCCAGGCCTCAGTGCATAACCATTAGAATATCCTGTATGATAGAAACGGCTGGGAAGACTAGCCACCCAGCGCTGGGCCTAACAACCAGGCTTTTGCTCTAGGATACCTAGATTGGTAAGATGATTTCAAAATATCGTGGACAAATACGAAGCCCCATTCCTCTTCAGCAAACCCCTCCCCCTGGCCCCCAGCCAGGGGCGACGTTGCCCCTGGCTCCGAACCAGCCCTTTGGCAGGCAAGGATGGATGTGGTGGGAGACCCAAGGTCAAGGGCAGGGAGCCTGCTGGCTGCAAGACCCCCTTCCCTGTTCCCTCCCATTCCCTTCACCACTTGTGGTTGCCTCCTTGAGTTGGGAGTGAATTTGCACGCCTGCCCTGAACCCCAGACTTGGGGGGCAAGTCCCCTTCTCCCCAGCCTGACTTCCCATCACTGTGCACTGCAAGCTCCCTCCCAGTTAAGGGGATCCCTCTGCCCTTTTTACTGCTCCCAAGAAGGCTGGGAACCTGCCTCCTGCCGCAGGCGGCGTGTCAGGAGAGGGCAGATGGTTGTGTGCATGGCTGGGCCCCATGGAAAGGGGGACAGGGCTGTGGTGGCTGCCCAGCTTCACTGGCAACCTTCTCCCCAGGTCATCGGGCTCCTGGATGTCTTCACCTCAGCCTCCTCCCTGCGCAGCTTCCATGACTTGTGAGTCGGGCTGCACTGAGTTCTAGGGCATTTGTAGGCCTTGCTTGCCGCTAGGGAGCCGGCTAGGGGAGAGTCCAGATTCGCCCTTCTGGGCAGCGGGCTTCCTGTCCTGGGCTGCTCACCGCTGTGTGATTCTCTCTGGAGATTCTTTCAGCGGGGGGTGGGGGAGGGGGTGGAGAGAAAGGTGGGCAAGAAGAGATGGGAGGGGCTTTGTGGGGTGCTTGCCTGACAGGAGCTGTCTGCTCATCTGCTTCTCTTATTATCCGCTTTAATACCACCAAGACCGCATTGGCAATCCTCACAGGGTCCGCACCAACTTACCTCACCAATCCGTGGGGACCCAGGTGTGGGTCTGGACCTTGGGGCTCTTCCTAGCAGGAAGCCCTGGTCCCCTCTGGCTGATGGGGTGTTTGACAGAGTCACACGGAGCCAGAAAATTTAGTTGTTAAATGCATGGCTTTGGCCTGCCCTACAACGTAGGAAACTTTGTGAAGGTGGATTTTTAAATTTTTTTCCCAACCCCTGTTTTAAATGCAGCCGAAGGTCCCTTTGTTAGGATGCTTTCATTTTAAATTTAATGCAGTGATTCTTAAGTTTTTTTTCCTATAAAGCTAGTTGCTGGGCTTAGCGTTGGGAATTTAAAGTGGACCAGCGCCCCCTCCCAGGCAGGGTGGGGGTACAGTTTCTAAATGAAGACTCACAGTAGTGCGGTGGGTGCTCTAAGTATGGTCGGGGCGGGGGGGGGGGGGGCTGCATGCTGCCTTGGGGCTTCACAGAGGAGGCAATGCTCGCACTCAGCGCCGGAGGGTGAGTAGATGTTCACATGAGGTAAAGGTGCTGAAGGCATAGTAGGTAGGAGGAACTGCGAGGACAAAGGCAAGGCCATGGGGCCTGAGACTGGACTGTGAGGGGAATATGGGTAAATTCAGTGTGACTAGTGAAGGCCAACGGCTGGTTTGGTCAAGGGAAGAGCCCAGACTTGATCCCACAGGCAGCCTCAAGTCCATGGAGGATTTGAACATTGGGGTGAGTAGTCTGATCGATTTGGGGGTGCACTTTGGCGGGGGCGGGGAAAAGGGAGCAGCTCTAGGAGCAGAGAAAGCCTGGAGAGTGGTGTCTCAGACCTTGATCTAACTAAGGCGGAGGTGATGCTGAGAGCAGACTTGAGACCCATCAGGAGACAGGACTGTCAAAAGGTCTTATCTGTTGGGAGAAGCAGTGGCCGGGAGAAGGGGTGTAGGTCAGGATGCCAGGCTCCTGCTTGGAATACAAGGTGGAAGGAGAACAGATCTTGGGAGAAAGATAATGAACTCTGTTTTAGACACAACTTTTGAGAAGCCTATAAATGTTCGGGTGTTTAATCAGCAGTTGCACATAAATCTGGAGCTCAGGAAGGTCTGGGCTCAGGTAGAATACGATACAATACTGTCGATTAAGAGATCAACAGAGAATCTTGAGGGAGGGTCAGACTTTGCAAGAGGTCCGATAGGAAGAAAGGGAGCCCCGGGAGTGTGTGCTGGGTGTGTGCTGGGCAGCCGTTGGTGAGACTGATCAGAGTGGTTTCGGAGGGGCAGGAGCAGACGTCAGGTTGTCAGGGGATTGGAAGTAAGGCAGTGAGTCAAGAGGTATGAACCATTCTTTCTAGAAGTTTGGTTGCGGAGGGAAAGAGGGAGAAGGGGTGGCTCTTTGAAGAAACAAGTCAAGGGAAGGTGGTTCAAGCACGGTCAGACTTCAGCAAGTTTGTCAGCTGAGAAGAGAGGGTCCATGCGGAGGTGAAGGACAACAGTGGGGAGGGGACCGTGCATGGAGCAGGGCCCCCATGGGGGAGGGGGATGATCCGGTAGAAGAAAGCTTCAGAAAATCACAGGCTCAGGGTGCCTTCGGCTCAGGTCATGATCCCAGGGTCCTGGGATCGAGCCCAGAGTCATCAGTCTCCCTGCTCCTCAGGGAGCCTGCTTCTCCCTCTCCCTCCGCCCCTCCCCCTGCTTATGCTCTCATGAGCGTGCTTTCAGTCTCTCTCTCTCAAATAAATAAAATCTTAAAAAAAAAAATCATAGGCTCATAGAGATGGCTTCCACCACATTTTTTTTTTTTTTTTTTTTTTTTGGTAAATATTCCTTTTTAAATCTATCATCTTGTGTTCTGGACTTTGCCGTTACTACCTTGAGCAACAGCTATATTTTGCTGACCTTGACCTGTTTTGCAATCCGATTGGAGGGTGCCGTGGCTCAGCTACTCCTTCCTTCTGCCCTCCTGGAAGTTGTTTGATTACTTCCTTCTTGGAAGGGCAGACATTCTTGGTGGTTTGTGGAGCTCTCCCAGCCGGGCATGACCCTCTGGGGGAGAAAGTATTTGGACAGAAGCAGAAGGAAATCCTGGCAGGTGCTCCTAAGTCACAGCTGTGGCTTTCTGGGGGGCGCGGAGGCGGGCAAGGAGAGGGCGCCTTTGAAGAGAGGGAGCACAGCTCCATTTGGTTTTCCTGAGCGCACTTCAGCCAAAATGCTGACCCTGAGCTCTGCTAATGGGGCGGCCGCCGTGGCCAGGCCGGGAGCCAGAAGCCAGGAAGCCTGTGTCGGGGTCTGGCTGGCTGCGATGGGGCTGGGTCTTGCACACGGAGGCCACTTCTAAGCCCTCTGTTCTGCCATAGTCCCTGCACCTCCTCTGAGCTCAGACCTGGGGCTGGGGGGGCTGGGGCTGGCAAGAAGCTCTCGTGCTTTGCAGCTACCTGGTGATGCCCTTCATGCAGACGGACCTGCAGAAGATCATGGGGATGGAGTTCAGTGAGGACAAGATCCAGTACCTGGTGTATCAGATGCTCAAGGGTCTCAAGGTGCGTGGGGGGCCGGGAAGGTGGCCGAGGGGGGCGCCTTGGTGTTGAGACCCAAGGTTTGGGGAATGCCAGGCCGTGGGGGCTGGAAGAGCACAGTGGGACAGGGTGGGAGGGGTTTGGAGCCTGCCTGAAGCCCCCAGGATGGAAGCTGGACTCACCCTTCTCTCTCTCTCTCTCTGTCTCTCGTACACAGTACATCCACTCAGCTGGGGTCATCCACAGGGTGAGTGCTTTCTCTGCAGTGGTCCTCAGAGGCCCCTCCACCCCGGAGGGATTCCCCACAGCCGGGAAGGAGGAAAGGAGTGGGGAGGCGAAAATCCTCTGGAGCTTGGAATGTGGATTTTTCAGACCCAACCTTGGCCCAGGAAGGCCTGCTCAGAAGAATGCTGTGTTCTGGGGAACTTTCTGGATGCTGTAAACAAAGCGAGCCTTGAGCTGGGTGATTTAGGCTCCAAGAATCAAGAGTATTTTAGAGCTGGATGGGCCCAAAAGGACACGTAGGCCAGCCCCCATTTTACACACAAGAAGGCTGACACCCAGAGAGAGAGGAAGGGGGACAAGCTCCTGTCTCCACCTCTCAGCCCAGCGCTCGCTCTCTCCTCTCATCTAGGACCTGAAGCCGGGCAACCTGGCCGTGAACGAGGACTGCGAGCTGAAGGTGAGCGGGCTCAGGCAGGGTCAGCCTGGCCTCGGGGTGGGCCCCTCTCCCCTGGGAGCCTCCTGCCTGCAGCAGCTCTTTCTCCCTGTGTCCCCTGAGTCATAGATCTTGGATTTCGGGCTGGCCCGGCATGCAGATGCTGAGATGACAGGCTATGTGGTGACCCGCTGGTACCGGGCCCCTGAGGTGATCCTCAGCTGGATGCACTACAACCAGACTGGTCAGTGGTCAGCTGCCCAGGGAGGGACCGGGGGTCTTCTCTGGGGGCTCCTCCAAGGCCGTTTTGGTTACTCTGGGTTGACTGACCGCCGGCTCAGCTCGTTCTCCCCTCCCTCTGCAGTGGACATCTGGTCTGTGGGCTGTATCATGGCAGAGATGCTGACGGGGAAAACTCTGTTCAAGGGGAAAGATTGTATCCTTTGCTGGGAAAGCCAAACTCCAGGGATTCACTCCTTCAACAGACACTTGATTAAATCTCTCTTTTTTTTTTTTTGTTAATGCGAAAGCGATACATGCTCACTGTAGAACAGTGTTATTTGTTTGTTTATTTTTTTTTTTTTAAAGTAGGCTCCACACCCAGCGTGGAGCCCAACAAGGGGCTTGAACTCATGACCCTGGGACCAAGACCTGGGCTGAGATCAAGAGTCGGACGCTCCACCTACTGAGCCAGCCAGGTGCCCCTCACCGTAGAATGATTTTAAAATGCAGATAAGGGAACTGCCCAAAAGCAGTCACCTGCCATTCCACCACCGTGTAGAAAAGACTTCACGTGTTGGCACCACATGCACTAACTGAGTGGCCGTGTGCGCTGTGCGGGTGTGGAGGAGAATACGTGGGGTCTGCGGTGCCGAACTCAGCATGAGGGTGGGGGAAGGTGACAGAGAGACCCATGTGAGGGTGGCTGGCTGGGTGGGATGGGGGTGGGAAGGCGGCGCATCCAGGAGGGGTAAGGCGGGTGGGAAGCCTTCCAGAGACCTGCGCCCTCCCCTGAAAGCGCATCTGGCTCCTGGATGGTTGCCTCAGCGCCCGGGTGGGAGTGATGGATGGGCGGCGGGAGAGCGAGGCTGAGCCTTAACCCTCTGCCAAGACCTGGACCAGCTGTCGCAGATCCTAAAAGTGACCGGGGTGCCGGGCGCAGAGTTTGTGCAGAAGTTGAACGACAAAGCGGTGAGTGGCAAGTGGGTCTAGACGGGCCTAGGCTCGTGCACTTGGCTAACCGGGGTCCCGTGGGCTCTAGGCCCACATGGGAAGGAGGGCTCACCCGTCCCCTCCTTTTGCCCTGGCAGGTGCTCTTTCTTGCCTTCATCCCACTTTGGACTTTGACCTGAGCCTTCAGCTCGGCTCTGGGGCTTTTCTGGAGTCCCCACCCTTTACCCCAAGGCCTGAGCCCCGAGAGGCTGACTGTGGGGGATTACTCACTGCTCCTCGGTCTTCCAGGCCAAATCCTACATCCAGGCCCTGCCACAGAGCCCCAAGAAGGATTTCTCTCAGCTCTTCCCGCACGCCAGCCCCCAGGGTGAGTGCTGGGGCCTGGCTCCTGGTGGTGGTGGGGGGGGGGCTGCTGGCTGTCCCGGCGGGCGGGGCTCTGCGGGGCCTGGGGTGTGACTCGCCAGCTCTGTCGCTGCAGCCATAGACCTGCTGGAGAAGATACTGGAGCTGGACGTGGACAAGCGCCTGACGGCCTCACAGGCCCTCGCCCACCCCTTCTTTGAGCCCTTCCGAGACCCTGAGGAGGAGACAGAGGCCCCGCAGCCGTTTGATGATTCCTTAGAACATGAGAAACTCACTGTGGATGAATGGAAGCGTAAGAGCTGGGGGCCTCGGGGTTCCGGCCTGTCCCTGCTTTGCCCGCTCTGTTCCCAGGCCTGGCCTCAGCTGGCCCGCGCGCGCCCTCCGGGATCCCCACTGCCGCCTCCTCTCTGAGCAGATACTGTCTCCTGCGTGCGTTGCTTGCTCCCTGAGCAGACTTCTGCTCCGCGTTATGTCGGGGGAGGGGGCTCTCTTTTGCCCTCAGCACCCCCTGCACACCTCGAGCCAGCCTGTGTTTCGCAGAGCACCTCTACAAGGAGATCGTGAACTTCAGCCCCATTGCCCGGAAGGACTCACGGCGCCGGAGTGGCATGAAGCTGTAGTGACCCCTGGTTGAGCCCAGGGACTGGCCCATGGCACCGCCTGCCGGATACTGCCCCTAGGACCCATATCTGCTTGTCACTTCTGGTCCAGCCCCTTCTGGGACTATCGCCTTCCGGGCGGAGGAGAGAGGGCCCCTGCCCCGGTGTAGGAAACAGGCCTCGTAGCTGCAGGATTCAGAGCTGTTGGTTGGCAGACAATAGCTCTGATCGCAACCAGCCACATTAAAACGTCCATCTGGAGACTCGCCCACGTGTGGGGTCCTTCCTTCAAGGCTGTAGTGGGGCTGAGGGGCGGGCAGAGATGGTGTATTGGTTTGCTAAGGCTGCTGGGACCGCTCAGCACAAACTAGGCTTGAAACCACGGGACTGTGTCCTCTCACAGTTCTGAAGGCTGGGAGTCTGAAATCACGGTGTCGCCAGGGCCATGTTCCCTCTGAAGGTTCTAGAGCAGAATCCTTCCCGGCTTCTTTTTAGCTTCTGGTGGCTCCCGTCCTCTTTGGTGTGCCTGGCCTTGCCGCTGCCTCCCTCCAGTCTCTGCCTCCATCCTCACACGGCCCCCTGCCCTCGGTGGAGCTCTGTCCGTCCCCGTCTGTCCTTAGAGCAATACCAGAGATTGACCCGGGCTCGCCCTCACCCAGCACGACCTCATCCCAGTCCTTACTCATTACATCCGCAAAGACCCTATTTTCAAGTGAGGTCACATTCTGAGGTTCTGGGCAGACACGAATTTTGGGAGGACACCATTTAACCCCCTACAGACGGCCACGAGGGAGGGGCCCCTTCCTGGGCCCTGGGCTCTGTCGCGGAGCCGAACGTGTTGGCTGCTAAATTGAGGGAGTTGCAGAGAGTGTTGCAGCTGGTGAGACGCTGCACGCAGGTTATTTTGGGTGAGTGATAAGCACTCGAGATATGAAACAATAGCAGGCTTGTGGGCTGGGAGCTGCAGAAGGCAGAAATGGGCTTTTTCCAGGCTTTATGGAAAGCGGTTCTACTCCTGCCTCCTCCCAGGAATGGGCATCTCTCCTGAGCTTTAACCTGACAATGGCTAGGATTTTTCTGTTTGCATTTGAATAGCTTTGGTAGAACCAATTTCCAGGTACCCCTAGTCCCGGCCCTGGGCACCAGGGGCCTGGTTAAAATGCAGATTCCCGGGCGCTACCCCAGAGATTCTGACTTAGCAGGGTATGGGGCTGAGGCCTGAGAATATTTGAATGAAAACCCCCTCCCCCAAGTCTAGGGATTCTGATGGATAGCAGACCATATTTAGAAAAACACTTGGTTGATGTCTGTCCCATTAGTCAAGAAGCCTAAATCAGCAACCAACGGAGTCTGAGGGGCTCACATGGGCTTCACACACTCATTTTACAGATGGTAAAACAGAGGCTCACACAGGGCACTTTTTGGGCAGCGAGGCTATTCTGCATGATACTGTAATGGTGGATACATGATCTTATGCGGTAGTGACAACCAGTGGAACCGTCCACCACAGAGTGAACCCCCAAGTAAACTGCTGCCTTCAGTTGATAACAACGTATCAGTATTGGTTCAGCACTTGTAACAAATGTCCCAAACTGATGCAAGATGTTAGTAATAGGGGAGCTGTGAGGCAGGGGGAGGGAGTATATGGAACTTCCTGTACTTTGGCCCAAGTTTTCTGCCAACCTAAAATTGCTCTAAAAATAATGTCTATTTAAAAAAAAAAAGCAGCTTGAGGCTCCAGGGAGATGGGGTGAGATACCCACAGCTGGGAAGTGGTGGAGGCAGGATTTGAACCTAGCAGCCTTGACCACCATGGTCTTAACTCATGCTTGAATTCAACGGTGGCCCAGCCTTCCATACCTTCTAGCCTGACTCTCTGAGCTCCTTTGCTGCCTGTGTCCGTGGATTCTGCTTCCTCTCCCAGAAGTGACCCTGCTGTCAAGGAGGGAGGGGCTGGCCATGTTCTGCCATAGCCCTGTCCTTGCTGGTTCCTAAACCTAAACCAAGTCCCCTGAGTCAAGATCCCTCAGTTAAATCCTTCAGCCTCCTGAGACACCTCACTAGTCCCAAGAACAAAAGTCTCGTTGGCCTGGCATTCAGAGCCCCTTGCCTCCTCTCTAACATCATACAATCCCACTGCCTCCCATGTTCCTTATCCCAGCGTGGATAGCCAGAATGCCAGTCCAGGGACACCCCATGAGGCTCACCCTGCAGGTGAAAAGGTTAAAGGTTCTGACAAGTCCTGCAGCAGAGAGGTCTGTTCAACATTGTTTAATCCAGAACTTCCTAAATGAACCTAACCCCAGGACCCCATTTTCTCCTGAGAGCCATCACACACAGAGTCCTCTTTGCCCAGTGCAGCCCAGTACACAGTCCCAGTACTCTCCAGGTGGACCTGGGGCTTCTTTCAGAACCTCTGCTTAGGAGGCCCTTCATCCCCCTCCTCACTTAGGAAAATCCTCCACATCCTTCAAGACTTTGCCTCAGGCCGCCATCGAGGAAGTAGTTCTCCACAATCCACCTTTGAGAATGGGTCTTTTCCTCCCTCTGCCCCAGGCCCTCTGTGGACAGGATTTACAGTGTCTGTGGTTCCGCCTCCCCTCCCCATTACACACTGTGAGCCCCTCCTTGGAACAAGTATCTGTGAATGGATGAATGCGTGGAGGAATGCGTGAATGAATGGATGATGTCCCGGGGTCCTGTCAATCATTTCTCTGCCCTGACTAGACCGCACGGTATCATGCGCAGCGAAGAGCACAGCAGGAAGCAGAAGTGGGTAGCCCTGGCCTGTCTCTTTGAGTGGCTCCCCTGAAAACTTCTAGGGTTTCAGACTCCAAGGCCTTTCCCATCATCCCTCGGTGTCCCTCCAGTCTATCCCCCAACCCAGAATTAAAATTTTATGTGTCATTTCCCTACAATTATCTCAAACCTGGGAGGTTTCTCCATAGGGACGTGAGCTGCTGAGCAGTGGGAAGGAGTTCATGGGTTCTGGTCTCACCCTATGAGTGACAGGAAGCCAGTCCAATTATAGGCTGGCTGGGGATCTGGGCTCAGCTTCCCTCGGACTTGGCCTGCAGGACCTCTGACAAGTCTTGTGTGCCCCCCTTCCTCTTGCGGGACAAGGGTGGGATCTGCCCTGCGGCAGGTAGGGAAGCTTGGAAGGTCTTGACAGAGATAAGGAAGCTAAACTCAGGGATGGGGGACAGTTGAGTGAGAGCATCTGTGTCCTGGATTTCCTCCTTTGTGAAATGAAGGGTGTCCTCATACAGTGGTGCAGCTCTGCTCCCAAGACCACGGGGGCCTACAGCTGGAGCCTGGCCACCCGTGTCACCCAGAGCAGAGCTTGCCTGGTGTGTTCGGGTGGCAGCTCCTGGGAGGCAGAGACAGAGGAACTGTCCTTACAGGGAAGAGTCCGGGGTGCATGCGTGCACCAAGGCCTGTGCGCCCGGAGGCTTGTTTGGAAAGGGGAATGGCTCAACTTTCACCCGGCACAAGGACCTCCACCAGGGTGTGGGAGACTTGCTTCTGCAAGAATCTCCTCCCACCTCTTCTCCGCACTCTTGGCTTTTGTGTCCTTAAATTCAGTCAAAACAATTCCCTAAGAACCGATGCTGGGATGCTCCCCCTCCCTTCATTCCACAGTGAGCTCGGGTCTCTGTCCTCATCCTCCCTAAATCCTCCTGTGATTTAAGGTAAGAAGCTAACGACTTTCTCCTTGTCCGCAATGAACAGCAGAGGCCCAACACCATTCCATCAAATTGAAGCTCTCAGTGAGAGGTCCCTGGGGAGGCCTCACCCCTGCCCCCCCTACCCGGAGATTTCCTGGAGCAGGGGCAGTGCCTGCTGGAATTCTGATCTGGTCCCTCCCGCAGGAGCTGAACCCCTGCCCTTGCTCTGGGCCATTGTCCATGAGGCCCCTCTGGGCACGGGGTGGTGGGGGGTGGGGGGGGGAGCCGTGACCATTTTCTGTGCCCCGGATCCCGCCTCAAAACAGTATTTTCGTATGCCTAAAATGAAATACGCAGGATTACAAAGGAAGCTAGTTATGTTGAAATACAGTTGTGAAAACATTTAAGCGTGTGATGTTGTAATTCATGGGTTTCTTTATGAACGCATTAAATAACGAGATCTAGCTGGGAGCCCGGTAAACTACAAATCTGAAGTAGGAATGGGCGTAATGGTGTTTCAAGAGAACTACGGCACCTACAAAGGGAGATGGAAAGCTCCGTGCTTCCTGTTGACATCGCTACTCCAACCGAAGTCTTCAGAACCAAGGGCATGGCAGCCAGAAGGAAAGTGGTAATATTTTTCAAGCCAAGTTCATGGACTCTGAATTACCGCGTGCGGTCTGCGGTTGGTGCGCCCCAGTTAAGAACCCCTGTTCTCGATACTAAAATGTGACTTTGGGTACCCTCTGTTAGTTCTTTTTCTTTTTTTTAAGGCTTATTTATTTATTTGACAGAGAGAGAGACAGCGAGAGAGGGAACACAAGCAGCGGGAGTGGGAGAGGGAGAAGCAGGCTCCCCGCAGAGCAGGGAGCCCGATGCGGGACTCGATCCCAGGACCCTGGGATCATGACCTGAGCCGAAGGCAGATGCTTAACCGACTGAGCCACCCAGGCACCCCCCTCCGTTCTTTCTTTCTTTCTTTTTTTTTTTTTTAAAGATTTTATTTATTTATTTGAGAGAGAATGAGAGAGAGCACATGAGAGGGGGGAGGGTCAGAGGGAGAAGCAGACTCCCTGCCGAGCAGGGAGCCCGATGCGGGACTCGATCCAGGGACTCCAGGATCATGACCTGAGCCGAAGGCAGTCGCTTAACCAACTGAGCCACCCAGGCGCACCCCCTCCGTTATTTCTTAACTGACCGTCTACCCCACCAGCATCCTCACCCCTCCCTGGCACCCAGTCCTCCATCTTGCATAATCACGGAGCCAGGTCTAAAACATCCACATCTGCCTACAACCCATATTACCCCCCATTTCCCTGGGTCTCCCACCCGCACTGTCCAGGTAGGAATGGGTCTGACTGGGCATTTCGCTAGGGAATTGGCCAAGGCCTTTATATCTAATTTGCGAACTGTGTGGAATTCTCCCATCCCCGCTCCAGGCATTTCCTCTAAACCATTTTACTGACGAAAACACTGGGGCCCAGGCCTCCTACTTACCACCACCACAGTGGCATGAAAACCTGTTGAGATCTGCATGACTGTCCCTGTCCCCCCCACCACCACAGGCATAAGGAGAGCCAGGCCTAGAGACAGGTTTGTCTTAACTGGCCAAGAGAAGAAGCTCTCAGAAAGACATTTGTTTTTCTCTTTTTTTCCCAAAGGTCTCATATTTGAGAATATTTTGCTAGGATTCTGGGAAGAGAAAATGTTGGGAGGGAAGAGTATCTGAGAAGTGGTGTGGCTTCTCCTAACCAGAAGGAAGCAAAGGCCTGTTAGTCCCCATATTCTTTTGAGACTGTGATCAGCTCCCCATCAACACCCTTCCTAAACGCAGGAGGAGGCTGCTGAGTGCACTTAGGGAGGCTGGACCCCA